TTGCCTTATTTTTTTGTTTATTATATAAAAGCTAAAACCGTAAATTAAATATTAGTGTTTAATAAGCTATAAATATAATAGAACTGCGTGTTTTTATCTCTGATAGCCTGTTTATTAACTTTAAGCTTTGCTTTTATTGCTAATACCTATATATTCTAGTTTTTTGTTTAGTTACTAAATTAATCTAGATTAGGGAGGACTTAACGTGGGCGAACTAATTATTAGTAGATAGTTTCTTGTAATTTATTAATTTATGCTTATATTACTTTAATTATGCTTATTAATTAAGCTTTGTGTTGGTTAGGCATTACGCCTTATTAAGTACCTTAGGTGTTTATTATATAGGGAAAAAAAAATTACTTTTAATTAAGCCTTTATGCCTTATATTCTAAATAGGTAGGTTAACCTTTAGATAATATAACGGTTTAAGCTAAGTATATTAATAACTAGCTAAATAACTATTATAAGTATTTAAAAGTAAGGAAGGAAAAAAAGAAAAGAAAAGCTTAAAAAGCTCTAAAGCTCTAGAGCTCTACGCAGCTAATCTCGCTTACTAGCGAGAGCGCAGCCGAGCCACCTTCGGGCTCAGCCCGTTACAACCATGGCATCTGCCCGAAGCTACGTATGTAGCAATAGTGACACCCCCTCGCCCCCCCAAGCTATGGCTCCCGGAGTTAGTGTCCGTATTCTCCGCGCCCCTCACGGACTAAAAGCCGGAGCGGTACTCCGTATTTAAGAGACGGGGCACAATGGCTTAGAGTCAATTCAATGTTGGTTCAAAACCGGCGGTAGGTGGATTTTGGGGTAGAAACACCCCTGAACTTGACGCCACTCCCTTCCAAACTATTGACACAAGACTATGTCAAGTCAAGCGTCATCTTGGCGTTTTCAACCCTTGTCATTGGATTTGCCCCAACTACCGTCTTTCTGCTCACGTCCACAGGCGCACTACTTGGATGGCGCTGCATGAATTAGGCAAAGTGAGTGATCGACTCTCTACTCTCGTGGATGAAGGAAAAGGTTGCGCCACCATGCAGGGGCTATAAGAACTACGCAATTGTACCCCAAACATGTCTTTGTCTTGACTCATGGCGGCATGTAGCATTGCTTAGTAACAAAGCGCTGTTTGCTTATTAACAACGCTTATGGTATGTGGTTCATGTAGTGGCAAAGAATTCCATGGCCGAACTTGGCTAGATCAAACTCTAGCTGGCAGCTTTCGATAGATCCTTACGTTCTCCTCTTGTCCTGTTTTTTCTTCTTCTTTAGATACAATACCAGAGAGCTTATTAAGCGTCGTAGCTCATGTAGTTGTAGGCACTATTGCCGCTCCGGTAATACCTAAGTGTATCGCAATTGTAGCTGCCACAACTTTACTTGAAGACTAATAGAGAGAGTTTTTGGGCTATAATAACCACTTTAAACTCTTTTAAACGAGACACTTTGAAGCCGAGATTGACCACATCATTTTCTATTCGTCTAAAGACTACAACTATTAGATAGTAGTCTCCACACAATTTTATATTCCACCTCCCCCCCTTTCCCCTTAAAATTGTTCTGTATCCAGTTCAAAGCACGATTCAGCTAGTCCAAGCAACTTGACAAGGCAGCCCAACCAGTTGCGCGTTGTGCGTTGTTACCAAATTGTATCAAACTTCCCCGCTCGAGTTTCAACAGCCGCGTATCCGCTGTGTAAACTGGCACCGTGTAACTTGACAGCATTAGTGCGATACAGTCTGATCATGTTAGACTGGACTTGGCTCATGGGCTTGCAAGCATTGGAAAGCCGACTGGTAATCGCTGTTCGGTTTCTGGTCATCGAATAAATCGCAGTAGAGCCCAGTGCCACACTGCTCCTCGTCGGCCCCTTTAAATCCACAATCCTTGGCACCCGATAGAGTCGCTGGTTGTTTCCAGGGGAGCAGCTTGGGCTTTTCCTCGTGGGCTTTGAAGCATTGGAAGGCCGACTTGTAATCGCTGCTCTTCTGGGTGTCGAATAGATTACAGTAACGCTCAGTGCCACACTGCTCCTCGTCGCCCCCTTTAAATCCACACTCTATGAAACCCAATAAAGTTGCTGCGTGCTTCCAGGGGAGAAGCTTGGGCTCTGCCTCGTGGGATTGGAAGCATTGGAAGGCCGACTTATAATTACTATTCGGTTTCTGAATATCAAATAGGTTACAGTAGAGCTCAGTCCCGCACTGCTCCTCGTCGCTCACTTTGAATCCACAATCGATGGAACCCGTCAAAGTCGCTGGCTGCTTCCAGGGGAGGAGCTTTTGACCAGTGACAGGCGTGCTCTGGGGCAACGCGCAAGCCAAGGAGACAATGCTGAGAAAAATAGCCTGCTTCATGTTGGCGTGGTAGAAGATGGTAAATATAGAGAAAATTGATATTGTAGAGTAGAAAGTGTAGACTGACTGGAAGATTGGGGAGTGGATGGTACGAAAGAGTGTGCAAGAATCAGATCAGAGCGTCAGTATATATACGTTTTAAAGGGTGTCTAATATCCAAAATTTGTCATAGCACGAGCATGGAATACTGTAACACTTGGCATTATCGAGTCAAAGTTGAAGCTACTCGTAATATTTCGGTCACTACGCATAATGCTTAATGTAAATTTATCATGCTATAAGCATAATGCAACACCTGACCTATATCATCAAGTGGGTGACGAAGCTGTATTCAGTATTTCGGTTGCTCCGAATATTTTTCTTTCCGTCAAGGAACGAGAAAATTAACACGCGAAAGCTGCAGTCACCCCCTGTAAGTTCAGCTATGCGTGACCTGGTGACAACGCTAATAGGGGCTTAGAGACAGGGGATTACGGCCAACAAGATCTCTCTGCACGTGTATTTGAGGTTGTTTATTGTAATAGCCGACAAAGTAATAAGTTTATATATAGAATAGCTGTCTTCTAAGATGGAAACATAAACTTGTTTAGCATTTCACGATTTATACTCTTTCTGAAATATCTCTTTTCTATTAGCTCTGGACCCTACAATTGTTACAATATGTTTAAACTTTTAGGGAATATATCGTACATTCTGGGATATCAAGCCTTGTCTCTGCGGGGAGAGAAAAGGCTATACCAGTACAAACGTTCAAGTCATAAGCCATGACTCATGCCACGCCCGGTGCCATTCTTTTAGATTCCGCTTCCATCCTTGTCTTCTAATAGGATCGTGGCATGAGTAATATAGTGCAAGGAGTGAAACACCCCATGGACCGTTTTCAATTACTCAAGGGAGCCTGTGTGATCCGCTGAAATTAGGCGCGAATCGGGGTCACAGAATTGACCTTAAAACTTTCCCTGCTATAAATTAGTGGAGTTTATACCTAGCAACGGGTTAGACGTTCATGTCCTTCAATTCTATGGCCCACCCAATTCACCCCAATTCCGAGAATTTCACTCTTCTTTCTGTCGCGATCTGTAGCCATTGCAACCAGAGTAAGTAATAGCAAGGGGTATTAGGGCTTGGCAGAGACAGCATCAAGTGTTTAGCATAGATACTCACGCATAGGTGGACTGATTTCTTTACAAACTCTATTATTGGAGGTATAACCCGTACAGACTTGGTCTAATTTCGCGACCGCAGACTCTATTATACAAGCATCTCACAGGCAACTGATTGCGTTATATTCGACATGGCTTTGAGACAACTTGAGCTGTTTTCATGATCATGCACCCAACAGGTGCTAGCGGATTTAGTTCCTGTTATCATTACCTGCCGCTTGGAGTGGCCGTAGCTTGTGTGCATCAACTTCCCGGTCATAGTGCGGGATTTGAGTCATTCAAGAGGCTTGAGCGAAGCGAGTCAATGCTACTCAAAATTATCCTATCAGAAAAAGTAGCGATTTCGAGAAGAAGAACTCTTACTACGACATGACCGAAACCCGATATCACTGAAACCCGATATTACCCCTGTAACCCGAGGTCCACTCAGGCCGAGACTAAGACTAATACCCCAAGACTGGGATTCATACCCCAAGTCTGGGATTTATACCCCAAACCGGTGGGGACTTCCATACTGTGGACACTGGTTAGTTAACTCTTGAAAGGCAAGTCCCGAACAAGAAGTTGTGCTATTACCACGAAAGCTATAATGAATAGCGGTTTCTGGTCGAGACGGAGGGATATTGCATTATTGAAAGTCTCGTGTTTATGATTCCTCTAGAGTATTGTTACGTCACTTATAGCTGAGCCTGCAGGCATTAAATTTGATCTAATATCCCCTATTATGCCGAAATCACGCGTGCCTTAACTTCCTTCAGGGGATATATCAGTGTCAATGCTATAAATCTCGGCGTTAAGGGTGCAGGCAAAGATAGATTTCGAAAGAAAAATGGCAGTAGCGTAGTACTACGTGGCGTGATTGAGTAAATAACTCAGGTCATCCTATAGGGCTTTATTTTAATCTTGTATAAACAGGGAAGCTTTCAATTTCTAAGCAAAGCTAAACAGCGTATAACAGTTAAACTCTTTTTACTTATAAAAGGACTTACATTTCATCTGCATGGCATATTTTTCCTGCACACAAAACATAACAACTCTGACACACTTTTCTTATATTACTAGACGAGATTCCCTCCAACTGTCAAAATGAAGACCTTTGTTTCCGTGGTTGCTCTCTTTGGTGCATTGGCCGCCTCTATGCCACAGGGCCCTTTGTCTGCGTCGCCGGTATGTGGGCTGGGACAACCAGGCTCTTGAGAAGATACTGACCTTGACATCTTAGACCGTTCAAGAATTGACTGAAAAGTACAATGGCAACTACAGGGTGCAATGTCAAGCGGTGAGTTCAAGCAGTCATTCTATGCTGAATCTGAATTGATCACCGGGATAGGCAAACGGGAGACTCGAATGCAAGACTTATGAGCTTGTCGATCAATACGTAAGTTAGAGATGCTCTCTGAAAGGACAAGGCTGAACACAGCGCTAATCTTGGTAAAGCATGACATTGTGAGTTATTGACAAAGCACCGGCAGCCGGCCGTCCCTCAGCAGACGCGCTCTAATACATTTAGCCATATTTCTATTTGACTCCCATTTGTAACCAGCATGGAGGTGTAAGAAACTTGCCCCCACCAAGGATGAGCGCACGACTGATATTTTATAGTGCGGAACCTGCGAATATGGCCCGGGACCTAAGCTCGAGGACTGGTTCTTGGTTAGTTCTCCTCGTACGAAGCGATAAAATTAGCTTGCTAATATGGTTTCCTATTCTAGGAACAATTCCACTGCGAGCTTAAACATTAAGCGGGAAGATGTACCAAGCACAGTCTTTATTGGATGTTGGAGCCTTGATAAGACTAGTGGAAAGGTTGCGCGCACAGCGTTTTGCATTAGATCTCGCTCAAACACTGTTGCTAATTCTATAATATATTTAATATATAAGATATAGGATCAAGCATCAAGAGAAACGTTGACAAAGTAGCTTCTAAAGTCGTATCAAGTGCGCATGGACATGATACTTTCCCAAATATTAATATTTATTTCACGAGAGTTGGGTCATCATAACAAGCTTTCTTTAAAGATCTCAATTCTAGCTACTTATATTCTAAAGTAGGGGAGCTCTATTGCCGTTATCTCTCCTATTCTGTTCAAATTCAGGACTGAACGGATAATCTGTGTACCCTCTGCTTTCCATTACAGCGTAGAAAGTGCTGCGATCATACTTTTGAAGAGGAATCCCATGCCGAAGGCGAAAAGGCAAATCGGGATTAGCAAGAAAATACCTTCCAAAAACAACGCCGACATTGTAATTCTTATAGTCCCGCTCCAAAGCTTGAGCAAAGTTATCCTGGTTGTATCCTCCCGCAACTAGTACCGGCTTGGCTGAGCCCCATTCCTCCATAAAGGGCATGATATTTCCCGCTGATTCACAGTCAACGTTGTTAAGCACCCTGGACTCTATGAGGTGCAAATATGCCAGCCCGATTTCCTTGACATGTTTGATCAAGTAGCAAAACAGAGGTACTGGGTCTGTCGCATCCATCCCTTGCCAGGTATTCCACGGACTCAGTCTGAACCCAACCCTGTCTGGCCCTACTGCTTGCACAACCGCCTTGGCAACCTCGAGTCCAAATTTGGCCCGTTTGGCGATGCTACCACCCCACTGGTCTGTTCTGTCATTGCTGTTCTCGTGAAGAAACTGGTCGACTAGGTACCCGTTGGCGCCGTGTATCTCGACGCCATCGAATCCTGCTTCCATGGCTCTCTTTGCCGCCGAAGCAAAGTCTTGTACAAGGTTCCAAATCTCATTGTCTGTCAGACATTCCGGCGTGTTGCCGCCATTCTCCATGGCGATTGAGCTTGGTGCTCGCACCTCGAGGCCAGTCTCCCTTTTCAAGGTTTCCGGATCGGCGGCACGCCCCAGTGCCACAAGCTGACAGAAAATATAACTGCCTTTTGCATGAACAGCATCGGTAATCTGCTTCCAGCCTCGAACTTGCTCGTCCGTATATAAACCGGGCGCGTGACTGCCGCCACCGCCACGAGCAGATATGAGTGTAGCTTCGGCAATCAAAAAAGTGCCTGGAACAGAGGCCCGCTGAGCATAATACTCTGCTGACATGGGTTCGGGGACGTGAGAGTTATTCGCTCTAAGCCTCGTAAGAGGTGCCATGACTACTCGGTGATTTAACGTAATACGGCCGATGCGTAGCGGCTCAAAAATCTTGGAGGGCATTTCGACTATAGGCACGAAGGATATAACGTGATGATGTGTTTGAAGTGCGGGAAGAAGTCTTATACACTAACCGAGAAGCTGTTTGGATCAATTCATAATGAAAAAATCCAACGCACAAGATTATTTATGAAAAGGTTTATCGTCTTTAAAATAATTTTTATTTACTAGTTAATAATCAACGAGCGAGGTTATTTGTAATCGCCCACTATATGGGGGCGACCACTACAGGATCCTCTTTATAGAGTCAAGTAGCTCGGCGCCATGTCCTTCCTAACAGGCATCTATCCTTATAAATGCCAAGTGGGCTTTATCCTCAAAATTTCCGTACGTTTCTTCCATTGTAAACATATTTCGGGGCTACAGGGAAGTTACAAGGCAGTATGCGTGGCTGGTATTGGAGTACAAGACATTTATAGAGTTGGGGTAGATATATTTCCTTATCAATAATTGCGCAACTTTGCCTTCTTTGCTGCTTGCGCTGGTCGAGAATTCAACGATAATCCACGGAACCTAAAAAGCAGCGACTTACTAAAAGCGAGCGGTGGCAATAGATTTCGAGCTGATGAATCATACTAGTGCGTCTTGTTGAATTTTCCCGCCAAACAAATCCGAGGGGCCACAAATCCGGATACTTATTTAGTTGTCGTCCGCTCGCCATCTTAACTTGGCGCGTTGACAATATTGAGTAATAACGGAGTATTATTCGGGGTACATTCAGACTTGGCCACATGCAGACTGGACTTTTACCCCTGCCATTCTACTAGAAGCCTGCGCTGGCCCTCGCTGCCCCGCATCATCTCGTCCCTGATGCGGGGGCGGTTGGGGCGAATTGCTCAGTCATCGGGAAGTCAAGTTGAAGCGGTCTGATATCATTTGTCATTTGCCTCGACGTCGACTCAACGTCGTTTGGATTCTATGAAAGTGGTGAATCAGAGTAAAGAAGAACCAGATCTCCACAGTTGGCGGCCCTCCACTTTCAGTAGAATTGCTCAATAGATTCCCCTCAACAGAAACACCGGGGGAATTCGTCAACTCACCACCCAACTTTGTTCCTGCCCGCATCCAACGTTATTCCGAGATTCTTTACGCCGCCAACGAGGAATTCGCCATGGTTCCTCACCCTTGGCTCAGTCTGCCCAGTCAACTCGGCAGTTGTCTCTGCAAGCTAACAGAAAGCTTGGCCACTGACAGCCGATTTCAAGCCTTTTGCAACCTGGGACCCGGAGCCAAAGAGTTTGCTTTTGGGTGGAAGGCTGCAGGCTCAGACTCTGTCATCGTGTGCCACGTGAAGCCAGGCCACGTCTCCGTCACACCAGGATCAGAGGCAGAAGCCAATTTTATCCTCTCCGCTCTTCCGGAGCAATGGGAGCAGTTCTACAAGCCTATTCCTGTGGCCCCCTACCAAAGCTACTGGGGCATGGTCGGCCAGAATATTCACCAGGATGGGGTCGATATCCTGGGGGATCAGAACATGTTTGTTGCTTATGCGTCGATATAGCCACGGGTTCTGGAGATGAGCCATGAAGCTCTACACGGTCGCATGCAGGAGGACCCCGTGCCACCCCCCCTCAGTCTTGAAGATGCCATCGTTGGCCGGTACGTGTATGTGTCACCTCCGGGCTGGGGCAGGACAAAGGTATTCTACGAGCAGAGCGGTAGCGAACAACATCCGGATATTTTGTTCCTCCATACGGCGGGTTCAGATTCGCGGCAGTACCATGGCGTCATGAATGAAGCACGAATGCTGGCAAAATGCCGCATGACGGCATTTGACCTGCCTGGGCATGGTCGCAGCTTTCCACCCGAGATGCAGATTCCTGGGTCTTATACCAATACCGAAGAGACATATGTTGGCTGTATAAGGGAGGTGATTCGCGCACTCGGCCTCAAGAAGCCCATTGTGTGCGGCGCGAGCATGGGAGGCCATGTATGTCTTGCCATTGCGCTGCGGGCCGAGGAGCTAGGTGTTGGTGGTGTGATTCCTTGCCAAGGGTTCGTATTTTGTGACCGGCAGAAATGTCTATTATTACTCTGAAAGGTGTATTGACCGATCTGGGCAGCTGCGACTTTACGAATATGGATCGTCAGTGGTGGGATCGCTCCGTCTCTGTGAACCAGTCATTGTTCAACCCAGAATGGATATACGGAGTAAGTATGCACGTTACAGAAGGGCTTTGCCATGAGGAGAGGAAATGACTAATTACGCGTAGATGATGGCGCCTACCGCCCCGCGTATCAACCGTGACATGGTATGGCATTGTTACTCGTCCCAAGCCTTTTGCATCTTCCATGGTGATTTGGACTTTTATTACGGCGGATGGGATGGTCGTACACGAGTCAAGGATATCGATACCGACAAGTGTCCAGTGTACATGTTGACGGGCGAATATGACTGGAGTACTACCCCGGAGCTAAGTGAGAAGACGGCCTTGAAGATTCGGGGCGCTAAATTCACAAAGATGCTGGGTCTCGGCCACTTTCCGGCGGCAGAGAATCCTCACCGCTTCGTCACATATCTAGTTGAGGCTATTGACTATATACTGTTCCAACAGGTGGAGCGTAGCTAGTGGAATGCAAATCTGAGTGTCAGTTTCAAAACACAATCAGATGAGTCAACTATATGCTCAAATGGCAGACGATTTAACATGTTTGAAAACTCCTGCTGTATCTACAGTATTGAGATTGATTTACTGTTTTGTGCTGCACTGTATATGTGTCGTGTTTTTGGCATGGACTCAACGCCTCGGTACACTTTAGCCCTTCAGCTCGGCATCAACATGCGACACGATGCGTCCTCTATCGTTTCACCCTAATACTGGGTACCCTAATTCTCAACATGGTATGACAGCGGGGTAACTATTTGATTGATATGGGCAACTGCGTTTGTTGAGTCAACAAGATGCCAATTTCAGGTTAGTTATGTAGGTTTAAATAGTTGCTCTTTGGGGCCAGTACAGCCAGACAGGGGCTTCCAGGGGGAAAATGAGGTATAAAAGATGGTAAATTTGAGGCATTTTCATGCGACCCACGAAGGCCTGCATCATGAATCGAGTTAATTTAAGCCCTGAAAACGCTGCTATTACAATTAAGCCTTTTTCGCTGTGTGATTTGCTTATAGATGGCCTGAAAATCTAGCAGTATTCTATTGACCTCCACCGTGGGGTAGAAACATCCTGGCACTTTGCCTTTAGAGATGCAGTATCCGGTTCTAGACTGCGAGTTGAATCTGCACCATGAATAGCAGACGTTGGACAAACGAGTTCTTAGGAGAGCACGTGGCAAAAAGCGTTGATATTGTTCAAGTACGTAGTAGTGTATTATTAATTAGCTAAAATTTCGCAGCTGTTCTCCCACATTCCGGGACTTGGGGCATTTTGAGACTCTAATCCGACGTACTTGGACCGTAAAAGCCTAGCAGGACTTATGCAGTGAGGTGACATCAGTAGTAGAGCTAATCAGATTTAGATTTGTAATATCATTGATGCGCTAAAGTGCCCACCTGCCACGGCTGGATCAAACCCTCACCAGAGTCACCACTACTGAATCGTGTCTGTCTAGTGCTTCGCCGTTGGGGTAGAAAGCCCAGGACGGAATGGAGGAACGATCGCCCCATCAAAGGATATATAATGGAGCTGATCCACGGAATGGCCATCTTCATCTCCAGCTGCAGGTACTTGATCCGCAATTTACTGTCACCTCTTCCTGGCACACATTCACATTCGATAGTCAAATCTTTTCGGGACCACACAATGTCCTCCTTACCCAAGACGTACCGAGCCGTTGTCCTCAACGAAGCGAACGGACCATTCAAGATTCAGGAGATGGAGCTGAAGCATCCAGGGCCGGGTCAGGTCCTGGTTAAAGTTCTGGCCTGTGGCGTATGCTTCTCAGATGTTAGCATTGCCAACGGAGAGTACGGAGATGTTTTTCCCAGAATCCCCGGGCACGAAATTGTAGGCGATGTAGTCGAGCTCGGCCCAGGCGTACAGGGTTTAGAGAAGGGAGAAAGAGTAGGAGGTCCTTGGCATGGTGGGCACGATGCCATGTGCAAGCTATGCAAGCGAGGGATGTACCAATTTTGCCACAACGCACAGGTGAATGGCTACACTCGAGACGGAGGCTTCGCAGAATACGTCCTACTTAAACAAGAAGCTGTCGTCCGCATCCCCCGCGAGTTAGATGCAGCCGAGGTTGCCCCGTTACTGTGCGCCGGGGTGACTGTTTTTAATGGCATCCGAAAGATGCATATCGAGCAGGGAGGATTGGTAGCCGTCCAAGGTCTCGGCGGTCTTGGTCACCTCGCTATCCAGTATGCTGACAAGATGGGCTATGAAGTTGTCGCGTTATCTTCCGGCGATGATAAAGCTGACTTTGCTAAGAAACTCGGCGCCCATCATTACATCAACACCAAGAAAAGCGACGCAGTTGCGGAACTCAACCGGCTTGGAGGAGCAGATCTTATTGTCCAGACGGCCCCTAACCCGGAAGTCATATCAAAGCTGGTTGGAGGTCTAGGTGCGGGCGGCAAGCTGCTGTCTCTAGCCCCGGTCGGTAATGTTGCCTTTGACAGCGTAGCTTTGATTCTTGGGGGGAAAAGCATTCATGGATGGGCGAGCGGGCATTCCTTGGATAGCGAGGAGGCGATTCGATTTGCGCAGACACATAATATTAAATGTATAGTAGAGAAGTATCCCTTTTCTGATGTGCAAAAGGCAGTGGATAGCTTGGTTTCTGGGAAGCCGAGATTCCGAAATGTTTTGACAATGTAAAGAGGGTTGACGGATGATGGAGGTCTCGTACTTTAGTGTTGTTGGTTTTTAAAAAATAAAAAGAAAGAGATGTAAAATAGAACTCAACGTGTCCATCATCATTGTCCCGTTCTTGTGCACAGTCCATTTGAGCACAGTTGAGAAGCACTCGATGCGATGGGGCCGGAGAATGAATGCCTTGACTTGGTGTGTTACAAATACGAATCGAGTTTTTTAGCTTACAAATTCAGTTTTACTAGCTCCCGACATCCCGGTACTTGTCCCGGTACATGTACCAGACATCATCAATTGAATCACGTGTAGTGTAGGCGGTGCCTCCGCCAATATATAGAATTGTTTTGACCCCGACAAGTCAATTTACTCCACACTGAGATGCCATCTTCTGAGCCAAGGCCAAAGCCAAAGCCAACGCCCAATCTTGTCCAAGATCAATATTACCCCGAATCTTGCTGCTCCACGAATGAGACCTCGGATTCATGTTCCGCCTTGCAAGTTTTGCAACAAGACATTCCGGCGCACAGAGCATCTACGCCGGCATGAACGCACTCGTAAGCCGCCTACTCCTCTTGATTCACCGTGTTGCACATGCAGGCTAATACATACATGCAAGACACAAAGGAGAAGCCGTTCGAGTGCTCCGCATGTGAACGCACCTTTTCTAGAAGGCAAGTTGAGTTGAGTTGACTGTAGACTTTGCATACCTACTAACCAACGTGTGTACTAGCGAGCTCTTAACCCGGCACAATAGGCTGGCTCACGGGGAGCACGAATCTGCAACGAGTGCCAACAATGAAGACGGAGATGCAGTCATGTCTTTTCACAGTACGTGGGCCGTCTCCGACAAGACACCCGATGACGGCCGCGATAGCCAGTATTCCCATGATCTGGTGCAGCAGGAGAAACCTCTCGTGGGCTTCGCAACTGATGGTGCAGTTTCCGACCGTCTTCAACTCGGGCAATCCACACAAATGCCAGCAACAGACACGCCTGATATTTCAACAAGCGCCATGCCTTTGCCATCCAGTTACTTACATTTGGACTCCCAACACGAAGCCACATTGTCCGTCCATCATCAGCCCTCGGCTGCCACGCTACATCCTCGAGGCAGCAGTGACCAAGCCCACAGCACCGTCGACAAGTCGGTGACTTGGGACTTATTATATGGCAATGACTTGGACCTTCTTTGGAGGGAAATCGGAGCGACCTCTTCCCTGTCTATGCCATCGTCGTTTGGGACAAACTATCCAATCAATTTGCTTCCCGCTTCACACCCCGGTGTCTCTGAGCTCGACACGGCCATGTTTTCCAACAAACGTCACGACGAGTCACGGAACACGTCAGGCGTAAGAATGCCTGATTTTCTTCCGCGTCAGCCAGCCGGGCAACCATCGGAGAATTATGCCCAATCTATACCAGAAAACACCAAAACGACTTCCAGTGGGCGCCTCCTTCAGCCCCCGTCAACCCCTGATGGAACTGGTAGTCCGTGGTTGCTATCCAAAGCAGACTACTCCATTATATGCAACAGCATTGAAAAACACCGTTCCGTCCTGCCAGCAACCTTTACTATGCCTACTCGATACGCATTACGCCGCTACGTCGAAGGGTATTTTTCGGGATTTCACGAACATCTGCCCTTTATCCATTATCCCACCTTTTCGCTCGTCTCTCAAACGCCCGATCTCATCCTGGCTATTGCTGCCACTGGGGCTCGGTATCGGTTTCAACGTCAGCAGTCGCATGACCTCTATATTTCTGCCAGAGCTCTGCTCGAAGAACAAATACGCAGGAGAAATGGCTATGAAAAGCCCATTTCGGTTTTCAGCACGCCTGAACTACTCTTGGACGGATATTCACACGCTCCTTCCTGCCAATCCAGTGTAGAAACCCCTGACCAATCTACATCAGACATTAACTGTGACAATGTCAAGACAATGCACGCCATGATCATCCTGATGGCTCTGGGTACGTGGAATCAACGCTCACTCATAAAGGACGCCTTCTCCATCGCAAGCGAGCTCGCCTTTTTGGTCCAGGAAGATGGCGTTGGCGTTGGGGCAGCAGCAGACTCGCCTGGCGCTGATTTGACCTGGCATGAGTGGGTTGCTGCTGAAGAGAGGCGACGCGCCAAGCTGGTGGCATTTTGTTTCAACAACCTACTGTATATTGCGTACAACATTGCCCCCAAGTTGATGAACTCGGATGTGGCTCGGCTGAGCGTACCCAGCCCTGAATCCCATTGGAGAGCTGCGAGCGAGGATGAATGGAAGGCGGCCCGTAGCAGAGATGCCATTGTCGAGACCAACGTTCAACAGAGCTATTCGAGTCTATTTCGGAACCAGACCGCTGCGCCAGCTAGCAACGGGCTGTCTTCCTTTGGCAATTATGTCCTGATCCACTGCGTAGTACAGCAAATCTTTCTGGCTAGACAATTGTCATTTGCGCCGTCAGGTATTGAATGCGCTTCATTGCCACCAGATTTGTTGCTCAAGTTTGACTCTGCGTTGCGGGTATGGCAACACAACTGGGAGGCTACCAAGGATTCGTCTCTTGATCCGTCCTCGCCCGGCGGACCTCTCAGTTTCAATTCGACGGCTCTCTTCCGACTGGCTTATATTCGGCTGCATGCTGATTTTGGACCTTGCCGCCGGCTGGAAACGCGCAATGCCGAGCGCATCGCCCAGGCTTTCCGCAATGCCCCTTTGCTCGAACGCAGCCCCCTGGTAGGTCGTGCTGTGCTTCAAAGTGCCCACTCGCTGAGCATTCCGGTCCGAATTGGCATCGAGTTTGTGGCAAGGACGCAAACTTTGCACTGGAGTATCGTTCATAGTCTGTGTAATCTGGAATGCGGCTTGTTTCTCGGCAAATGGCTCGAAACGATAGCCAATGCCATGGCGTTGGGTGACACTATACAAGAGGACGAGAAACGATTAATGGGCATTGTTGCGAGCATCATCAGTGAGACTGAACTCGGCGACAAGTTGGCCTCTGAAACTGATGGTGTGCTTAAGGTAAAGCGCATGGCTGTTGCGGTGATGCAGTTGTGGGCGTATAGTTTCAAGGGAGCACATGTGTTTGATATCATGGGAACCATTGGTGCGGGCCTGGATATATGCGCTGATATGCTTCAACGAGAGCTTGTGACTGATGACAAGTGAGCTGCCTGGCCTGTATTACAATTTTTCGACATGGGCATGCTTCATAGTGTGTGCTTTTTTCCACACCATGTATTATATAGATAGGTTATTTAGAGCATAGATCCACAAAGGTTATATAATAGAATTACAAGGCTCTCTAGAAGCCTAAGTCATCTCTTTTCGTTTATATATATATACTAGCTATTTATCTCTTCTATTCTTCTAAGAACTAAGGACCTTTAATATTCCATATAATCATCTTTAAATCAACGTGTTATGCTCGAAGAGTTCCTGTAGGCTCAACAACACCTGTTATTCGGGGCACTGCCAAGACTCAGTCTATACCCTGCTATGTCGTCCGCTATCAGAGCACCCCGTCAGAGGTAGCCGCAATCAGATATCCATCATTCTGTAGGAAGACCTTTTCGAACATGTAATATATCAAGAGTACCAACGCAGTAAATAGAAATGACACTGCAATGTATATCCAAAACCTGTCTTGGCCGGGTCTATACGGCTGTGACATGCTGAAAAGAGATGACGTAAGTGAGAGCGGGATAAAAACCAAGCCCACTACGACGAGTACTCTTGCCCTCTGTGCCTCTTGTACAGAGCGCTCTGCGGCAAGTTGTGATAGCCGCAATCCTTCCGGAAGACTCCGGCTTACGCGGGTTCCGCTGCTGTGGATATCATCATGACCTCAGCACGCTATGCTTAGCCACATCAAGTAATACGGTCCTAGCATAAGATGTATTCGCTTAGATCAAAGCAAACTAGATGCGGTAATCGAAATCAGACTTGCTAGAATCAGCCAGACTGTCGGCGATCGGCGGGTGACACTCTTGTTGGCCAATGAGGTATTCGGCCATCAGCAGAGCAGAGAAAAGCGCAGCAAATACACATGATATTGGACAAAATTAAAAACGTATAGAAGAAGAGAATAGCCATTTTCTGTCACGCATTGGCATGATACGACTTTCCTCTGCCTGCTTTTACACATACAAACGGGCGGCTGTATCAAACACGATATTTTCGGCAATACACGAATAGCGATGACCATGACTCCCGAAACTGAAGAGGACCTAGCTTATACTCTTCTGATAGAGCTGTTGGCGTAAGTTGAGTCAGGCTATACGACATGGGGCGGTGGACTGAATTTTACTATAGACATCAGTTTGCCTATCCAGTGCGATGGTAAGACAAACAATTGGACTCATCAGGCTGTCGATGTGAGGCGGCATGCTCACACGGTGTAATAAACAGGACCGAGACGCAAGAACACATCCTACGGAATATCGGCGCAGACCGAGTGATTGAGGTCGGACCGTCGAATATTCTGATAAACATGATGAACCGGACGTGGGAGTCATATATGCAGGCAGAAGACGTAGCGTGCAGCAGAACTCGCAAGTTTCTTGGGCCGCAAGGGAGTTCTGATGATATATACTATCGGGTAGGACCAGAAGAAAAAACAGAATCCACCACTCAAAGCAAACCCGCCGAGCAGAAGAGCCGTGGCCATGAACCATGCCCATCTAAACCACGTCCCGCATCATCACCGTCAGCTACTATAGCTCCCGTCACCACACCAACACAACTCTCACAACCAGCGGAGAAGCTAGCCGACACCGCCGTACCAGCAAGCATGCAAATCACATGTATCATAGCAAATAAATTGAAAAGGGAACTTGAGGGCATCTCGCCGGAGAAGACCATCAGCAATCTTGTCGGTGGACGATCAACCCTCTCAAATGAAATCGTCGGCGAACTTGACGCGGAGTTCCCAGGCATTCTGCCGGACAGGCCAGAAGAGATACCGCTCAAGGAACTGGCTGAAACACTCCAAGCAGGCTCTAGCGGAAGACTTGGCAAATCCACATCCTCTCTGGTCGCCAAAGCAATCTCCTCCAAGTTCCCGGGAGACTATTCACAATCAAATGTTGGTCGGTACCTGGGTGATAGATGGGGTTTAGGCGTGATGCGTCAAGAGGCTGCGTTGTTGATGCTTGTTGCGAAGCAGCCCGTGTCCCGTCTGCCTACTGCCGATGCTGCAGAGAAGCTTCTGGGTGAGGTGGCCGCGGGATACTTTGCGCAACAAAGCCTCGCTCTCCCTGTTGCCACCGGAGGCGGTGGTGATGCAGCACACAGTGGCGATCCCAAGGCGCTTCAGATGGTCAATGAGAAGGCTTCGACTCTTCTCAAGACCATTTCCGAAGCTATTCAAGCACATTTGGCAGGCGATAATCCACTTTCACTTGCACATACTGCCAATGACACAAACTACGAAGCCAAAACACTCTCCCCGGCAGAGGAATTGGACATGTGGCTTGCCGAACACGGAGACGACTATGCACATGGTATGATGCCCAAGTTTGACGCCAAGAAAGCGAGAGTGTATGATTCATACTGGAACTGGACTATCCAGGACATTGTGAGATTCATCATTCTCTGCAAGGACGCCAAGGCCTCCGATGCTCAGACCGAGATGGCAGAACTTTCCATGAGCATCAGTAACCGCGCGTGTCATCGCTCCATCTCGTGGTTGCAATACCTGAAGCGCCAAGCAGAGGACGAGGCAGGAATAGGAAGTAAATGGCTAGCGAGCATTTTAGCCCTTCTCTCCGAGCAATGCAACCAGGCCAAAAATAAGGATCCGGTATTTACTGATATCATGTCGAGTATGGCTCCCGTCACCAAGATCGATCCAAGCGGAAAGATCACAGTATCAGAGGTGCCGCGGAAAGAATTTGGCAGAAAGGGATTGTACCCAGCTGATGCACTGGTCAAGGGCATGGGTCCAAATACCGAATTCACCGTGGCAACGTTCAGAAACAGCCAGACTTCACATTCGCCAACCCTCAGCCTGGTCTACCAACACGACCTACAGATTGGAAGAGAATGCGGCTTCACCTTTGCTGGGAAGAACGTTCTGCTTACCGGCGCAGGCAAGAATTCCATTGGCTTCCACATCCTGCGATGTCTCCTCGCCGGTGGCGCCAGAGTAACGGTCACATGCAGCAGTTTTTCCACGAAAGCTGCGCAGATGTACCAGAGCGAGTACGCCAAGTTTGGTGCCAGGAATTCCGTCCTGCGGATAGTGCCTTTTAACCAGGGGAGCAACCAGGATGTTCACAACTTGATCCGTTGGATGTATGGTGATGATGAAACTTGGGACCTCGACTGTATTGTTCCATTTGCGGCCGTGTCGGAAAACGGGCGCGACCTGGAGAACATTGATTCAAAGGCAGAACTTTGTCATCGGCTCATGTTGACCAATCTCTTGAGGATGCTCGGCGCAGTGGCTCGGGCAAAGAGGGAGAGAGGTATCGAGACTCGTCCCGCGACTGTTGTTCTGCCACTATCCCCAAACCATGGTCTGATGGGCAGTGACGGCCTGTACTCGGAGTCGAAGCGGTCTCTAGAGGCGTTGCTGGGCAGGTGGACTTCCGAGTCATGGGCCACGTATCTCAGCCTAGTGGGTGTCATCATCGGCTGGACTAGAGGTACTGGCCTCATGGACGACAACGACTCTGTAGCCCAGGCTGTGGAAGCCATGGGGATCAGAACATTCAGCGCTCCCGAGATGGCTGCCAACATTGCCACGCTCGTAGGCGGACGCATCAATGCCGTTTGTCAGCTAGGTCCGTTGGTGGTAGACCTTGGGGGAGGACTGGGTAAAGTCCACGGGTTCAAGGAGAAACTTGCGGCATGTAGACAGGCTATACGTAATGAGGCAGATATCCGAAGAGCCATTGCCAGCGAGCTTGAGCGAGAACGCAGAGTCATTTCCGGTCCCCAACAGCACGATGTGAGCCTCGTGTCGCCTGCTCTATCTGCCCTGTCGGCGAGAGCAAACATCAAACTGCCAATTCCCGAGTTGCCCAATTATGACACCGAATTAGCACCGCTTGCTGACTCCCTCCAAGGCATGGTGGAACTAGATCGAGTGGTGGTCATCACAGGATTCTCGGAATTGGGACCATATGGAAACAGCCGCACGCGCTGGGAAATGGAAACAACAGGGGATTTTACGATGGAGAGCTGCATCGAGATGGCGTGGATGATGGGTCTCGTCAGATTTGATCGCAATAATAAGAACGGCCCAGGCTGGGTGGACGTGAAGTCTGGAGCTGCCGTGGAAGAGGCAGACATCTACAACAAATACATGCCACGGATTTTGGAGCACACGGGACTGCGGGTGATTGAGCCGGATATCTGTGACAACTCTTACAATCCTGAAAGCAAAGACGGAGTACAGGAAATTGTGCTACAGCGCGATCTGCCCGCGTTTGAGGCAACAGAAGAGATGGCTGACAGTCTCAGACGCAAGCACGGGAGCAAAGCCATGACATGGCGCAACAAGCATGGCGTGCTACATGTACAGCTCAAGGCGGGAGCTGTGGTTATCATCCCGCGGGCAACGCGGTTTAATCGCACAGTGGCTGGGCAAATTCCTACCGGGTGGTCGGCGAAACATTACGGTATTAGTGACGACATCATTGAACAGGTTGACCCCGTCACGCTTTTTGCCCTCGTGTGTACAGTCGAGGCGTTCTTGTCGTCGGGAGTTGTTGATCCGTACGAATGGTACAAGTACATTCATGTGTCGGAGCTTGGTAACTGCCTCGGGTCCAGTATGGGGGGGCTGTCGTCCTTGAGGAAAATGCACAGAGACCGCTTCCTTGATAAGGATGTTAAGCCTGATGTTCTGCAGGAGACCTTTGTTAATACAACGGGCGCCTGGATTAACATGTTGCTCACTTCCTCGGCTGGGCCCATCAGGACACCCGTTGGAGCATGTGCCACCGCGCTTGAGTCGTTGGACGCGGCTTGTGATCTAATTACGCTGGGCAAGGCCAAGATTGTGCTGGCAGGTGGCGTCGAGGACTTTGTGGAGGATGTGTCGTATGAGTTTGGGAGCATGAAGGCCACCTGTGATACGCATGCTGAATTTGCCGCTGGCAGGAGCCCACGGGAGATGTCGAGGCCAACGGCGTCGTCTAGGGCGGGCTTTGTTGAGGCGCAGGGTGCTGGCGTTCAAGTTCTTTGTTCTGCATCCCTGGCCTTGAAGATGGGATTGCCTATTCATGGTGTCATTGCGTATACCAACATGTCAGCGGACAAGGTCGGCCGGTCTGTCCCGGCTCCAGGCAAAGGAGTCCTGACCAATGCGAGGGAAGCGCGGCCTGCCGTCCACGATATTTCTTCACCATCGTTGCCGTTGCTGGACATAAAGCACCGCCGGAAGGCGATGGCAAGACGGATGAAGCAGATTGACGACTTTGTCCGAGACAACCTAGAGGATCTCGATGACCGGGTGGCCACGATGAAAGCCATGAAAGCCACCGAGGGGGAAACATTGTCGGACGAGAGTATCGAACTCTATCGTCGCGAATACATCGCGAGTGTTGGAGAGGATGCTGCCGCTCAACGAGCCGAAGCCGCCTTTGCACTTGGCAATCAATTCTGGAGAAGCGACCGGCAGCAACGCATCTCCCCCATCAAAGGATCCCTGGCAACATGGGGCTTGACCATCGACGACATTTCCGTCGTGTCTCTCCACGGCACGTCGACTATGAAGAATGATCTGAATGAGCCGCTGGTCATTCAGCAGCAGATGAAGCATCTCGGCCGTCAAGACGGGAATCTCGTGCCTTGCGTCTGCCAGAAATGGCTCACTGGGCACTCTAAGGGCGCCGCCGGGGCTTGGATGGTCAACGGCGCGCTGCAGATGATGAACTCTGGTGTTATTCCAGGCAACAGGAATGCCGACAATGTGGATGAGCAACTGAGGCAGCACGAGCACTTGTATTTCCCCAACACGACGCTTCATATCGGCTCATACGGTGCGGTCAAGGCGTGTTCCGTGACCTCTTTCGGATTCGGTCAGAAGGGTTCGCAGGCAATTCTCGTGCACCCGCGCTACCTGTTTGCGACTATTTCCAAGGGCGATTACAATGAATATTCAAGGACACGAGAGCAGCGCTGTCGGCGCGCGAGTCAGGCCTACGCTAATGGGCTTGTCAATGAAGACATGGTGTCGGCGCGAATCAAAGTCGACCCGCCCTACTCCAAGGATGGCGAGATGGAGGCTTTGTTGGACCCTTTTCTACGGTATCAGATCAAGGCATAGGATTAGTAACTAGAATTTGTAACGGAACATCAATGCGGCACTGCGGATGTTTATATAAAACATATACACATGACTGTAGGCATGCGTATTATAGACATATGGTTGGTTGTGCCTAGCTATACAGTACAGTTGCAAGTGTGTATTTGCATTGTGCGCGGGCATATTTGACCGTCAATTGACCTTGAGCTGCTGATCTGATAGTAGGCACACGCGAAAGTTTTGGCTCAGTTGGACATTAATAGTGCCACCATGTGGAATCCAGAAACATCTCCTTCTCTCACTGTGCTCTCTTGACTGGCAATTCGTATACACCTCACACTTTGTATGGCCTAAACTGAACATATGGCCCGTCTTTCAGGCTCGTAAATGCCCAAAAGGTATCATACTGTCCCTTCAAGTCACCCCTACCCTCGCCCACCCTTCTCAGGTCCTCATCCTCAACAGCGCGGAACTCATACCGGCTGATTACTGCTGCCATTGCCAACGAAATCTCCAGCATGGCCAATCCCTTGCCGACACAATTACGCGGTCCGTGAGAAAAGGTCGCAAAGGCAGACTTGGCCCGCGACACGGCCTCGTCGCCAGTTTCGGCCGGCAGCCAGCGCTCTGGTCGGTAGGCGAAAGGTTCTGGAAAGTATTCCGCATTATGGTTTAGGGACCAGATTCCCGTAGCTACTTCCAGGCCGGCAGGGACATGGATATCTGTGCCGGGGATGGAGAGGCCACCGGAAAGTGCCTCTCGCCACATCGCTCCTCCTGCCGAGGGCGCTAGTCGAAGGGCTTCCCGGATACAGGCGCGTAGGTAACTGCAAGAGAGCAGTTGAGGGCCGGGGCATACTTGGCTAGGGTCAGGAAAGGCTTCTCGCACCTCCTTGACTACGCCGTCATATATATGGCGATGGCGGCAAAGATAGAAGAAGACGGCCGCCATTCCGGTGGATGATGTGTCGGAACCTAGACAAGTACGACATGAGTCACTTGATCGGTGGCTGCGAGCATGTGCACCAAGGACTTGCCGGCAATAATGAGCAAGTTGCTCTCTGCCCAGAGCTGCATCTGAGACAAACCCTCGCCAGTCTCCGGGTCTTTGGCATGCAGGAGTTTGGAGAAGAGGTCAATCTTGGCTTTACTCTTGTCTGCTTCTGTTTCGTCAGCCTGTGCAGCTCTCTTCTCCCTTTCCTGTCTCTCCTCCATAATCTGCCGGCTCTTTTGTGAGAAGCGGAGAGCCCTGCGGCGAGCATCTGGGAAGAGGAGCTTGTGCAACTTCATGGTCTCCAATTCAGGCAGCTGGGTGAGGAAGCTGATCCGCCTCATCTGGCCACAGACGCCGTCCACGATCCAGTGATTCTCTGCATCCGTGAGTAGATGGTATGAAGTCCCGAAGACGAGCTGTGACATGACGTCAAAGGTGAAGAAGTCGCACCAATGCGCCATGTTTTTGGGCGAGCTCCATCCCTCGTCATCGTCGCTGTTGGCCGTCACAGGGCCGCTGGTATGAAAACGATCCTCCATCTCCCCAATCCCTCCCGCAAAAGTAGAAACAATTGCTTGCAGCTCGGGCGTCATGGTTCGAATGTGGGAATCTGATAGTCCTTGATTCATGATTCGTCGCAGCTTGCCGTGGGCGGTGTTGTCCATGGTGCCAAGCGTCGGATGGACGGTAGGCACAAGGGAGATTTTGAGGTAGGATTTCGCCTTGCGCACATTTTTCCCATGGCCGTAGATGCCTTTGAAAGCTGGCTCGGTATTGACGATGATGCGGTTGGGGGCATATCGTACAACTTTTCCTACAACATCCGTTCCTTAGTCACCCCGGAAGGACTATAATCTAAACGTGGAAAGCTTTACCGTATATCTCATGACATCTCCAGATGTCTATGTGCAGATCGCCGTTATAGGTATGGTACACTGAGTACCAACTGGTAAGTTTGGCCCAGAACGGGCCCGGATGTTTGGCGTACGGATGAAAGAACAGTCGGTACACAACAACTCCCATCTACGACATGGTGAATGTTAGTATTTAACGACTGAATTTTGTAACGCTTCACCATACAAGGCGGAGTGAAGCAGTAACTGCAACGAGTAGTGCTATGCGCAAGGAGTAGTCCATCATTGACAGCGTGGTGGCAATCCGTCACTGGTGGCAGTTGAAAGAATCCTTGGTGCTCTGCATTTAGTAGACAAATTGGCAAGAAATCTATAGACCATGAGCTGGGTTTATTTTTGCGTTGCAATAGAATATAGGGGCCCAACGCACGCAAAAAGTTGCCTCTGGCTTCGCCAATTTTTGTGAGACATTTTGGATACAGGGTAGGCATTCAGGCAGAGCCTGAACCTGTCTCTCCATGGTGCTTAGGCTATGTATGAACCCTGCTTGTCGGTTTAGGCAAGACTAATGCTGCAGCCAATGAGCTAATCTCACGTCATTATTAGATTTGCAAATGAACTACTACATTTGAACATCTTGATTAGCATGTAACTGAATGTTAATTAAGATATATTAGATTACTGCTTTTAGCTATAATAACTTAGGCGCTAATTATCTATTATTTACTAAGTATTAATAAGCTTTTTAAGTTCTTTTTAAGTTTTCTCTTAGTATAATTTAAGCTTTTTCTTATTTTTTTTAAGCTAAATATATATATATATAAAGAATATTTATTATTTAGGTAGGGGGTATTTTTAGTAGTATTTATTAAATAGCCCTCCGGAAGAGGTAAAACCGCCAATACAGATTTATTTGGCAGCTTTGGCCTTGTAGGCCTTTTTGGCCTTTTTAGCCTTTT